ATGTTTTTAATTTTACCATTCTTGATAATTTTTATGGCTTGATTTTATTGCCATTATTATTTTATTTCTTGCTCAATTCTTGCCGAGTGACTTGTATTTTTTATGTTGTTGTATAATCAAAATGTACTATTTTTAGTAATTTTACTATCTTAATTATTTCAACCCCGCTTGTAAACTAGTTTGAAAATCTAGCCATAATTCAGAAATTCTCCTCTCTTCATAAGCTAAGCTACGAAATGTAGTAAATAGTTAAAAATATTTTTTAAAATCTATATTAAAATAATATATTTTTTATTTTTTAAACTTTATTTTTAACCTCATTCTATCGTAACAATAAAAAATATATTAAAAAATTAATTTACATATTATTAAAAAAAACAATACCACCGCGAAATAAACACTGCCCAACAACCAAGATGTCTTCCAATTCCTTTCTAGATTCCCTTTAAATCTGGACTTTTACAGTACCGACGACGACGTCAGTATTACAGCATGGAATTTGAAAGTAGCAGTGATTAAACTTAAATCCAAGGGTGTTATGTCATGTCATTTGGAGATTCTTTCATTTCAGCAAGCCCCGATAGGAGGAGTTCATTTCAAGGAATAAAAGCATTTTAAGGTGAAAAGAAATAGCTAGCCAGAAATGTCACTAAACAGTGGCACGCTAATTGTCAAGCAGAGAGTCGGGTCCTTTGAAATCACCATGGTATAACGACACCGACAAATTTAGCTGGACCACGGCACTTTAGATGACATGGGAGAAAGCCGAAAGGGAGAGACAACAAGTTAAGATCAACGCGACCCACAGACTCACTTGTTCCTCGACGTATGACACATGCACAGGGGAAGACGGTGGGAGATATGCAAGAAAAACAAAATCTAGCACGAGTTGTGACCCACCCGGAATTCTCATATATCTTCAAATCAACCACGATTGCTTTTTAGCTTTTCTTTAATCTTCGTGCTGCATGAAGATTTGTCAAAAACGTAACGGAATTAACATTCTTGCACAGACTGTATAGAGAAAACAGTGTGCCAGTAGCGAAATTCCATTTATTCTTTCTACAAATTGTCTGAATATAGATGAAAGAGGCACATACATCACCACGGCACCAACTATATACAAGGATAAACACACAGTGATGAGATTAAAAACCGTCATCAACCGGCCGGAAAAGCTATCATATTTAATTTATAATAGCCCAACACCTAACAAATTACACACGCATTTGGATTCTCTTCCATGCTTTGGACATAGTAATATGTGGTCATTTGAGGATTGTAAGCTCTGTAGGCCTTGACAAGCTCCATAACCGGGTCCGGAGGGGGTGCTGGCTCTTTCTTCTTCTCTTCCTCTTTCTTCTCGTCCTTCTTCTCTTCCCCCTTCTCCTCCTCCTTCTTCTCGTCCTTCTTCTCTTCCTCTTTTTTGGGTTCTTCCTTCTTGGCTTCCTCTGGCTTCGCTTCTTCCTTCTTGGCTTCCTCTTTCTTAGCCTCCTCTTTCTTGGGTTCCTCCTTCTTAGCCTCCTCTTTCTTCTCAGGCTCTTTTGCTGGCCCTACTGTGATAATGTCTGTTGGCCAATATTTTCTCAGTTTGCTGACTGCATTTACAGGATCAACCGTTCCGATAACGGTTAATTTCTTTGCCTTCATGTCCATGGCCATGGAATCAATTCCTATAAAATTGCAAAATGAGATTAAAAAATCGCTTCACAATTATTTTCTAAAATAAATGCACGTCAATGTTCCACAACGACACTATTGTCCCGCGCGCTAACAGCTTGCAGCGCAAACATCTGCAGATTGATACACCCATCATTTTCGATTTCTGCCCACGAGGCTTACTAAGCCTGCCACGTCTTCAAGAAAGAAATTGAATTTTTTTCGGAGGAATCATTATGAGCAACCCTGTCTCGCATCACATGAAAGTTTGAAATCCATTCGCGTGCCTTTTCGTGATTAGGAGGTATACTGGATGGCCTACAGAAGCTGCCTCCTGAATTTTCTCACAAAATCTGATCTTTCTAGTATTAACAGTGCACTAGTAATTGTGCAGAGTACAAAACAAACACTAGCACGTTATTGCATCAAGAATAAAGCTAATCTTACAGAAAGTAATATTCTTCCCAAGATCATTTTCCGAAAGAATTCAATCATGGGATCTACTCACTCGATACATGGTTGATTTTTCATGAAACAATTTCAAGGAAATATCTGATAAAATGGGTATTCCCTCCAACACCAAATTTTTCATTGCTAGTTTGCGTGTCCTGACTGATTTGGTTGGCACGGACATTCATATCACCTTACATCTAGATAGAAATAATTAAAGCAGAGAAAGAAGTACCGACCAAAAATGAAAACCCTTCTTGTAAGAAATTAGAGAGAGCAATCATTACGGAAAGGGAGGGGGAAAAAACAAACAAAAAAAGTTACAGATGCAATTTTAAGCAATTTGCTTCCCTTCACCTACCCCACCCTTGTAACCAAACATCAGAGAGTGATTTTTCAACGAACTACCCTCCTGTCTGAAATCTAAAAAACCCAAATTACACGTAAGAAAAAACAAACTTCAATGGAAATCCAAAAAATAAATTGAACTTGGTACCTGTAAGAGTAGAGACTGTCTTCATAGCCTTTTGCTTGGCTTTGTCATCATGCAAGTCCACCTTCAACACAAACTTCTGCAGGCATAAATCAAATAGATCTAACTCAGAGCTTCAATTCAACTACTTCCACATATTCATTAATCATTTCACATCAAACTTAATCAAAGCGATCAAAACCAATTTTATTTTAAAAAAATGGCTAAAGCATCAAATTGTCTTCACTCCTATAGATACCGAAAATCAAAACGTTACAGATACACGGCACCAACACAGAATCAACAAACTTTTAATGATCAGTTGTCTGTAAAAAGACCAGAACTGGACTAATGTACAAATTCTGAACCTGAACTTTTGGCACTCAAAAGACTCTGTTCTTAAAAAGAGCACTGAAAATACTAATTCTTCCTTTAAACCAGTCCCAGAAAGAGACCCCTGATACTCATGGACCCATCCAAACAACTATGTTACCAGGAATCAAATGAACCCATAAACCAAAATGTCTTAAATTCCTTTTAGAAAGCATCCGACCTTTTAAAGAATGAAAACCGAATAAAGAATTATAAAGGGAATACGTAAATAAATAAAGATTCTAAAAGAGAGAACCAAACCTTCATTTGATGCGAAGATCAAAACTAGAGATGAGAGAATGTGGAAAAAAATTGAGAGACAGAGAGAGAGTGGAGGAAAGAGGGATAGGAAGTAGGAACAGATGAATGTTGAAAAGAAATAGAGGAGAAGAAGGAATCAAATCACTCTTTGTCAAGAGAGAGAGAGGTCAGAAGTGTGATTATGGACACCGAAAAAAAAAAACGAAAGAAAACAAGAAATGCAGAGTAGGAGAGAGGAAGAAAAATAAAGTAGAGAGTGAGAGTGAGAGAGAGAGAGAGAGAGAGCAAGTTGAGTGCATGAATGCTGAAGAAGTGCGGAAATCTATATGATCCAAGTTGAGTGCATGAATGTTGAAGAAGTGCGGAAATCTATATGATCCATATCTGTCCCAAGCCTCGAGCTCCCTAGTCTCTAACCTCAAACTAACAGGAAGAAGTAAAAGAGCCATCGTTTTCCATGTATGTCTACGCGAATGAGAGAGGAGTGAGAGCCACGCTTCACCACATGTTGAAATGAACTACGTTTTGGAATACTCGTACAGTCCATGGAAGAAAAAAAATTATCGGGTTTTCTCAGAACTCTGTCAATGTAAACAGTTTTTTCATTTAAAAATCACCTCATTTAAATTAAAAAAACTAAGGTTTAATTCTGGTTTGTGATAAGCAAACAAAATTGTTAGATAGAGATTTTACCGGGGGAACAAGGTTGAAAAGGAGTGCCTGGGGTGATTAATTTTATTATTACTTGACAGAATTTGACACTCCCTTTAACTTTATTTTTCAGCATTGGTATTATAGTTTTAAACCTTTATTTCATCTTAAAATTTCTTTTAATTTAGAGTTTAGATTTATATTATCAAAAAATCAATAAATAAAAATGAAAATATTAAGGAAATATATTTATTGATAATTGCCAACAAATTTTATCAATTGAAATATTTTCTCAGTATTTAATAAAAAAATTACAGAGAAAAAAATCAAAACAAAGTAAAAGAATAATAAGGTATCATTTCTATATACTCGTTATGTCTTATTCTTCTTTTTTATTTTTTCTTCTCATTTTTTTTAATTAATATAGTTTATGATTTTTTTTTCTCTTCTTAACTTCAATTGAATCTACATCAAGATAATTTTTTTTTATTTTTTTCACTATATTTTTCAACATCAAGATATTTTTTTTTAGTTTTTTTTAATTGTTTTTATTTTTAATAATTGTATAAATATTATTGTTAGATTTTTTTTCATATGAGATCATTTTTTAATTGATTTATTTAAAGGATTTTTATTTTTTTTGCATGTGAACTTTTTTATTTGAATTTATTTTTTCATGTTATTTATTGGCTGCAAATTTGTTTGAGTTCATCTTCATTTTATTTTTTCCAAGCATTTTGAGTGCTGTAAAGTGTTGATCAATATTAATTTAATTATTTTATAGTTTTGATTTAACTGAGTTAAATAAATTAATTTTATTCTAATTAAATAATAATAAATAAATCAAATTAATAAAAAATGATTACAATAACTTGTGAATTTTTTTTTTTTAAATGAACAAATAATAAACCTCAATTATTACTTTATTGAATATAAATAATAAAATTAAATAAAAAAACCTGAAAAAGCCAGTCTAAGTCAATCTAAATTAACATGATAAATTTGTAATCTTGTTGGTTAAGATCAAGCCAATCCGAATTATCTTGAATCTAATGTCATGAGATCAAGATGACATGATAGAGAGTAAAATGATGCAAAATCATAAAGATTTTAAAAAAAAAAACAATGTCGACTCGTATTAACCTTTTAAACCTATAACTGAAGTCATTAGGCTAAAAATACTATATTTAAAAAAAATATGAGATACAATTCTCAATCAATTAAATGTTCAAGGATGAAATTAAAAAAATAAAAATAAAAAAATGATGATAAAATTAAATATAAAATAAATTTAATCTTTGACTAAGAGGTGAAATTAAAAAGAAAAAATTTAAAAAATAAAAATTTTAAAAGAAAAGGAATCAAGATTGAAGTAAGAAAAACACACAAAAAGAATCAAGATTGAAGTAAGAAATACATACAAATTTTTTATTCAAGGTTGAAACTTAAAATAAAATAAAATTTAACAAAAAATGAAAAAAAAATGAGGATCAAATTAAAAAAAACAATATATAACAAATTAGAATTAAAAAATAAAATGAAAAACAAATAAAAAACAGACAAAAAAGTAAAGAACAAGAATCATAAAATATAAAATTAAAGTTAAAGTTAAAATATCAACATAAAAAATAACTGAAAAATTATTAATAATAAATCACCCCAACACTACCCACACGTCTAAATAAAAATGACGTTGCAATAAATTACCTGCTCATTGGGCGCGCGCGGTTTTAGCCCAGCGGTGGGGGGCTTGTCCCTTTCTTCCGCACCTGGGTGAAAGGAAGGAAAACAAAACAGCCTAGTGGTTTGCGTGCCTCAACATCAAGCCTGTCAGTTTTTGTTAAGATATGGTGATCATTTCGAATTGAAACATTTCAATTATAATTATAAAATTTACAATATGCTTCGTGATGCGATTCCGACAAGGTACTTTCTCAGACTCGAGCATGGTTGGAGAAACACAAAGTAGTGGCATTTAATTTAAAAAAGCTGCTATATTTTTCAAATGTTTGAAATATAAAATTATGCTATGGTATGCTATTAATCATGATCCGTTGCGGGCTTGGATTTTTATTTTTATTAAAAAATATTCTGATGTTATGTATACATTTCAAAACAGGAAGAAAAATTCACAATTTTATGGTAAACTTAACTGAGTTAAATAAATTTATTTTATTTTAATTAAATAATAATAAATAAATCAAATTAATAAAAAATGATTACAATAACTTGTGAAAAAATATATATTTTTTAAATGAACAAATAATGCAACTTAGTTATTATTTTATTGAATATAAATGATAAAATTAGGTAAAAAAAACCTAAAAAATCAGTCTAAATCAACCTAAATTAACATAACAAACTTATAATCTTGTTAATTAAGATCAAGTCAACCTTAATTATCCTGGATCTAATGTTATGAGATCAATATAACATGGTAGAAAGTAAAATAATGCAAAATCACAAAGATTTAAAAAAAAAATAATGTCGATTCATATAAACTTTTCAAATCTATAACCTATTTGAAAAAAATATGAGATATAATTCTCAATCAATTAAATATTCAAGGATAAAATTTAAAAAATAACAATAAAAAAATAATTATAAATATTAAAATATAAAATAAATTTTATCTTTGATTAAGATGTGAAATTAAAAAGAAAAAATTAAAAGAAAAAGAAGAAAAAGAATCAAGATTGAAGTAAAAAATACATACAATTTTTTTATTTAAGAGTGAAACTAAAAATAAAATAAAATACAATAAAAATTGAAAAAAATGAGGATCAAATTAAAAAAAAAAACAATATATAACAAATTAGGATTAAAAAATAAAATTAAAAATAAATAAAACATAGACAAAAAAGTAAAGAACCAGAATCATAAAACAAAAAAATTAAAATTAAAGTTAAAATATTAACATAAAAAGATCTAGCTATTGTGTGCGTAAGCTGACCCAAACACCCCCGCATAAAAAAAAAATAAAAAAAAATGACGTTGGAATGCTTACATCAAAATAATAAAAAGGAAACATAAAAAGATCTAGCTATGATTTTTTTGAGAGGAAAAAAAAATTATTATTGATAAATCACCCCAACACCACCCACACATCTAAAAAAAAATGACATTGCAATGCTTACATCAAAATAATAAAAAGGAATTTTTGGCCTCTAAAAATCCTGCCCGTGCTTCTCCAAGTGTTTGGCGCCCGGGCAAACATGCCTTCTTGCCGGCCTACTATCACATCTATTCACCTCACAGCCGCCGTGGGGGCCCCTGTTTGACTATTGCCTGTAGCTGCTGTGGGGGCCCCTGTTTGACTATTGCCTGTGGCCTCAAAATTTTCTTAGCCACCAATAATAGCCCTGGCCCAACTCAATTCATAAGCATTGGCTGTCAGTTTATTCCAGATTCTCAAAATTGAGGTGTGGGCCCATTTTATGAAAGACCTCGAAGCCCAGACCCATTTACTGCGTGAACTTTTTCACGCCGCGTAGCTTTCCGTTGACCTAAGTACCAAAATAGGGGGACAACTACAAATCAGCCCCCGACCTTCTAATATTTGGAACGCCCTAGCCGATTGGTCCCCCCGCCATAATATCCAACAGGTCTCATCGGGGAAGCACGCGCTTGAATTTTAAATAGCTGGGAGGAAATTAAAAAATAATAATGAATATAATTTGCTAGAGTAAAGTAAAATAATAATAAGAATCAACTCTCTTTTATGTAGTAAATATAGCCATTCTCTCGTTGTTACACTCTCCTTCTCTTCTCTCCACTGTTCTCGTCGCAACATAAGATTATAATCTTTTTAATTTACATATTTTAACTTAAAAAATATAATATTTTTTTAATATTCTAAAATAATCTTTCTAAATTTATTGTTTACAATAAATATAATCTATTTTTATTTAAATTGCTTCTTAATTTTTTAATATATGATATTAAAATTTTAAATATTATTTTTTAAATTAATCTGTGTAATCTAGGACGGCGAGTTCATCCCAGGCCGAGTTTAATGTATATATGATAATAACTCCTGGTGCATAATAAACGATGGGAATGTGGAAACTTTGAGCCATATTTAATAAAGTTTTGAAGGTTGGAGACTGATATGCGAAGTGCGTCATCGGCTGGGGGCTAATCAGCAGTTTTCACATAATAATAATGATAATAAAAATAATAGCAAAAGCCTTACCGTCAACCTCCAGCAAGGACATCTGAAGACGACACGTGTTAATCACAGCTCACGGTTTCCTCCTCCTCGTCCTTCCTATTTCCTGTCCGAAGTTTTTGACCAGGTCCACTGCGTCCTTTACATCCGCCACAACTCTTGACACTCAGATAATCACTTTCAAAAACCCTAATCACGTATAAAAATTCAAAACCCTTCTTTCCTCTACAATGCAAAAAATAGAAACTAAAAAATCTCCTCCATTTTATACCCTCTCCAACAAACATTGCTCCTAATCTCCTAACACCGCCAAAATTATAGAAAACCTCCACCTATGATTCCCAGGATTTGATGAAAGATCAAAATCCAAATCCAAGAATCCCTAATTTTAGCTTATCTTGATTCCAATTTGAAGGAACTATACTAGGGTTCAATGGAACAAAACCACATCGAATCAAATTCCTACAAATATCTAATAACAAACAAATCATCTTCATGGCTCGAAATCCGATTATTCTACGTAAGAGTAACTCCTTGCGTTATCGAAAGCGTACCCGACCACCTGACCATCCGCCATCTCCGTCGTTCAATCAGCACTCCACTGGAAATAAACGGCTCTAAAATCCCCTCCTCTGATTCCGCCTCCTTAACCCTCCGTCGCGACCGCCTCAACAAGGAATCATCGGAGGTTACGTATGTTAGCACGGACAGCGTGCGCGTCACCCGCGGGGTTGAATTTGAAATATTAGATAACAAGGACATGGTTTTGTGTGGGTCGTTGGAGAGGATCGAAACGACATCGTGGGGGAATAATGGGGGTGTAGGGGGGTTGGAGAATGATGCGAAGACAGGGTGGAGTTTAGAATGCTGTGTGGCGGCTGGTGTTTTTGAAGGGAATTCGGTGTTTAAATTGGGGGTTTCGGCGCCGGTGATCGAGGTCTATATTGCTGGTTGCTGTGGAGGTGTGCCGGTGATTTTGACGAAGACCATTTTGGTTGGTCCCATGAAGAAACCGTCCAGGTATGCGATGCTCGATGCGATTCCAGAGGATGAGGAGTTGGATAATAGGAAGCAAAGCGGTGTTATTAGTAATGGGTTGGTTAGACAACGCAAAGTTCGGGTAAATTAATCCTGTTGTCATTAATGCATCTCTCTTTGTTTGGATTTTTAATCAGAAATAGAATGATGGGAAATTGAAATGTTTTTTTTAGAGAAGTTAATTGAGGAAATGCAAGTGTATTGGTTGTTATGTTGCAGGGAAGTGCGGTTGTGAATGTTGTAGGCTTTTTGTTTGATTGCCTTATCGTTGCTTAAGTTGGATTGAAGTTACGTGAGTTGAGTTAATTCTGATTATGATTTGATTTAAGTTTTGTATAATGCAGGTAATGTGGATTTTGATGTTGATTGTGTTTTTTAAGTTGTAGTTCTGCAATGTGTCTGAGCGCTGGAGCATTATGTTTCCTGTTCTTGTTCTATACCGTGTCCAGTGAATGTAATTGTATGACGATTTCTTTCCCCTGAATCTATCTACGGTACCCGCTTTTTTTATTTCATGAGAAGTAGGTGCAGCCTCTTGAACCACTTGTTTATTTGGCGAGAGAGAGGAAGGCGGCTTCTATGTAACATGAGTGTCTCCCTTGAAATTATTATTACCTGTACAAGTCTATCAATTGATTACATTGTGGTGCAGCTTGGAGTTGGTCACAAATGATTTGTTGGATAATGTGCTTCTGTCTTCTTGAAATAAATCATGCAAATACGTGTTCCTCAAAGGAAGCAATTACGGTCTTCTAGATATTCAACTGTAGATCAGCTTTAAGAAGCTTAACAAACTCTTGCACCGGACAAATTGGAAAATTTTCTGATATATTTTGGACATCTTTTTTTCATGTGTTAATCAATGTGAATCCATGATGTGCATAGCTGCTTGGGTTGAATACAAGGACAAACATGAGCATGATTCAATATATATTGAGTGATTTTCTGATGATGTGTTTTAGAAAGGTTGTTGACACCTCAGTTTACTTGGAATAGCATCCCTTCGTCAGCAGTTTGTGCTATTTCAATTGTCTCATCAACATTGGGCCCTTGTGCAGATTACTGAAGCTGAAGATGATGATGGCTATGAATCAGATGAGAAAATTGGAAGCCAATACTACTCAGAAGACATGTATTATGGTGAGGATGGACAACTCTCGTGGTTTAATGCTGGTGTGAGAGTTGGTGTTGGAATTGGCCTTGGGATGTGTCTTGGTGCTGGCATTGGTGTTGGACTGCTCATGCGTTCATATCAAGCAACTTCGAGGAATTTTAGGAGGAGGTTTTTATGAACCGGATATTTTCTGTCTACTAGCTTGTCACCGTGGATGAACAGAAACAGCTGGAAATATTTCAGAATGTCGAATTACATCTGTAATATTGTTCAATATACGAAGTTGAAGGAGATGGGAACATATAAGGCAGGCGTGATCTGTTAAGTGTGAGTTTCAGTAAATGATACGGAAATTGTACATTATTTTTGTTTGGTAGTTGTAAGATCTATATATCTTGACAAGGAAACCAGCTTAAATTTCATCTCCTCATTCCTCTAGGTGCTTATAAGATCATGACTTGTGGTGGTCCAAATGGAAGTCGGATATAATGCAAATTTGCTTAAATATTTGAACTAGCAGAGCTTGGGAGTAGACTCTGGAGGAAATGACGGCCTTGATCTTCCGATGAACCTGCAAGAGATATACAGGCCTGCATGGGTTCCTGGTGGTGCGAGTGTGCCTCTATAAAAATGCATGTAGTTTTCTGGGTCCTGTAGTGTATTTGTGTAGCTCTCTCTCTAATGTAAGTGTAACAGGTTTATTTTCTCGTCTCAAACTCAAACTACTGCTTCTCATTTTTGCATTTAATTAATTTGTTTCAAGCTGTTTATTGCACTTCTGAAATAATGGGGAAGTCCTTTGAGACATATCATATCGGAGTGCTGTTATTTCTGTGATCTGATTTTTGCCATCTTTGGAGGAACGTAGAAGCATTGAACCAGGTATTTATTTCCATTTATCCCGAGGCTAAACCCATATGAAATGCTAGTTAGGACTATACATACGAGAATCACCCCCCCCCCCCACAGTGCACTTTCTTTTTGAAACCGTTTGTTTACGAAGTGGCTGAAGTAAAACATAGGAGCCATATGTTTGGTAAAGAAAAAAACGGTATTTACTGTTTATGGACTCTATTGTTTGTTATGTTTGCAGCAGAGGGTAAGAAGAAGCAGACCTTGATTCTGTGGTGAGGGAATCACTTTTCACTGTTTACTTAAGTGAACAGTTAAAAGGCAATTTTTTTTCCTTCGTGAATAGTGAAGTTATTCTTTATGGTAATGATGAGACTGCACCACTTCAAATTAAATGTATTGAATTAGATTTAATTCAGTGAAATAAAATAATTTTTTTATTTTTAATTATATCTTATTTAAAAAATTAATGTTATTCAATGATGTTAATAATAAATTAAATATAAATTATAATTATAATTTTATTTATAATAATATTTTATTTGATGTTGTTACATGCTTAAAAATCTAAAAAAATTATAATTCTTGAGGAATATATTTTATATGTGATAAAATTATATATAATTTAATAAAATAATAAAAAATATTTTATAAAAAATATTATTTATTTTATGATATAATAAAATAGTTGAATTTATAATATTTAAATAAAAAAATAAATATTAATTTATATTTTTTAAAATTATTTTACCATCTCAAGTATTTTTAATTAAATATATTAAATTATTTTTTTAATTAATTTTAATTTTAATTATATTTTTTTACCAAATATATATAAATACTAAATTAATCTTCATTAATTTTTTTTTATATAATAATTTTTTAAAATTATCATTAAAAAAAATTTTACATAATAATTTTTTAAAATTATAATTATAAAAACTATTATAATATCCAACTCACTGTCAAAGGACTACGAAACTTGCTTTCACCAATGGTGAAATGACAACCGACAGGGCGTGGTGAATTCCTCTGACAGTGGTTTTTAAAATTTTCACTTCCTCCTCCTGGAAGAGCCTGTTTATTTATGCGACTGTGGCTGTCTTTTAATTAAAATATAGTTTGTAATTATTTGATAATAAAAAAAATAATTTATTATTTATGAATCATATATGATTTTTATATCTAAAACACAGGTAATAAGCAGGTAATGAAAAGTAAAAATTTTTTATTTTCTACATATTATACATGTTAATTATATTGTTCATGGTTTTTTTTATATTATTTTTATTAATAGTTTTTTTTAAAAAAATTAGTTTAAAATAAATTAAATTCACTGTGAAAAATATTTTTTTTTAAAAATATAGTATAGAGTCAATTAAATTTACTCGCATTGTGATATTAATTTTATATCTGATAATAAAAAAAATATAGTATAGAGTTAATTAAATTTACTCACATTGTGATATTAATTTTATATCTGATAATATTTTATATAATTTTATTACACGCTGAAAAAATTATGAATATTATAGTTTTTATCAAATAAATTTTGTATGTAATGAAATTATAAATAGTTTAATAAAACAATAAAAAATATTTCATATAAAATATTATTTGTTTCATGATATAATAAAAATAATTAATTCAAGAATATTTAAATTTAAAATCATTAATATCAATATATATTTTTTAAAATTATTTTATAATTTTAATTTTAAAAATATTTTTAACCAAATATAATAAATTATTTTTTAATCTTAATTTTAACTAAATATCTATTTTTTTATATCATAACTGTAACAAATACTACGGTACCAAAAACATCCAAAAAAGTAGTGGGTAAAAAAGAATGCCGCCCCAACAGGGTAATGGCTATACTTCACCGAATCTAATTAGCGACCCATGTTCTTGGGAGCGGCTGGCACAACCCTTGGTCATAGTTACAGTTTTTTTCTTCTTCTTCCACGTGGGTATCCTTACTGAGAATAAATCTCTAACGGGTCATGATGGTCTTAAAAAAACACTAAGCCTAATTATGAAAACATAAACACTTTACTTGTTTTCATTAATAAAAAAAAAAAAACGAAGCAAGGGAATCGAAGTCATCGAAGCATTACCTCAGTTTTTCAAAACCCCAAGGACGAGGGGTCGGAAGTAGTCTACTGCTCTAGACAAGCAAGGGTAGGGTAGGGTAGGGGACCATTCACCATCTCCCTCCCATCCAAACCATAGGAAGCAGGACCATTCACCGTCTCCCTCCCATCCAAACCATAGGAAGCAAAAACAAACCAACAGAAAAAACGACACTCCATCAGCCTCTTTCTCTCACATTTCAGTTCACAAATAAGTAAATAAAAAAGAAGCCCTTTTCCCTCCTCCTCCTTCATACCCATCCAAAAAATGGCCAAATTCCTCACGTTAAACCCTAACAAGTACAAAAATTGTAAATGAGCGCCACGACTACCAGATCTTTAGCGACAATGTCACACCGCCGTAACACTAACACTCGTCCTCCTCCACAACAACAAAAACAACAACAACAACAACAACAACAACGTCTCCCTCTTGTTGTCACTCTCAACTGCATCGAAGATTGTGCCATCGAACAAGAATCCTTATCCGGCGTCGCTTTAATCGAACACGTCCCTCTCGGCCGCCTCTCCGATGGCAAGATCGAATCTGCCGCTGCCGTCCTCCTCCATTCACTCGCTTACCTACCACGCGCCGCCCAACGCCGTCTCCGTCCTTACCAGCTCATCCTATGCCTGGGGTCGGCTGACCGAGCTGTCGACTCCGCTCTCGCTGCCGATTTAGGTCTCCGGCTTGTCCACGTGGACACATCTCGAGCCGAGGAGATCGCTGATACGGTTATGGCTTTGTTTCTAGGGTTGCTGCGCCGGACGCATTTGTTGTCAAGACATGCCTTATCAGCTTCCGGTTGGCTTGGCTCGGTGCAGCCGCTTTGTAGAGGAATGAGGAGGTGTAGAGGTTTGGTATTGGGCATTGTTGGTAGATCTGCATCAGCTAGATCTCTGGCTACCAGAAGCTTAGCTTTTAAAATGAGTGTGCTGTATTTTGATGTACACGAGGTACTTGTTCACGCACTTTAGAATTTTCAGTTATTCAAGTTGCTTAGATTAGTGTTGATTTTGATGCCAAACAATGTCGTTTTTAGAATTTTTTTGTTGCTTGTGAATTAAATAGGAGAAAATTGTTAGATTTTTTTAATAGGATTGGCTGATGGGTTAGTAGAGCCATTTGAATTTAAAAGAATTTTTTTGTTTTGTGGATGCAGTTGATTTATGGGCAGATCAGAAATGAGCTTCATTGTGATGTTTTATGGGGTTTATGTGGAGATAATACATTTTGTGTCTGTAAATATTTCCAAATTAGTTGGTTATAAGGCACAAGTTGTTTTCTTATCTTTGTAATGAAAGAAAATAAAATCTTGGTTAAGCATACCCTGTTATATTTGATAAGCTTGGCATTTGGAAGATGCAATTTGGGTATGATTGAGAAACATTCTTTTAGAAGTTGATTAGTTGTGGGATTTGATGTTTTTTGAAGTGTTGCTTCTCTCTAATTTAATGCATTGACTTGTTGTGCACTCTTTTGCTTTTATTTTACGGTGCTCAAGTTATTTGCATTTGCTCTCCATTCACGTTTTTGCCTAAATTAATAATGCAGGGGCCAGGAAAATTAGCGAGGTCTTCTATTACATTTCCTTTAGCTGCTCGAAGAATGGATACTCTTAATGATTTACTTGCTGCGAGTGATCTTATTTCACTTCACTGTGCTTTAACTAATGAAACTGTTCAGATTATCAATGAAGAGTGCTTGCAACATATAAAGCCAGGCATATTACTCTCCTTACTCATTTTGAGAAGTTTGCAATAATTTACTTCCTGTTGATATTTATGTGGAAGGAACCTCTTTGCTTTCTTATAGGGGCATTTCTTGTGAATACGGGCAGTAGTCAGCTGCTGGATGATTGTGCTTTGAAGCAACTTCTGATTGATGGGACCTTGGCCGGTTGTGCCCTGGATGGTGCTGAAGGGCCACAGTGGATGGAAGCATGGGTATGTATGATTTATGAATTGGATTATGATGTTATTTTTAGGATATATATAAAAAGTTTGAATGGAGTATGTTATTTCTTGGAATCTATAACATTTCATGGCCAATTTGAAATATCAGTTACTTCATAAAAAAATTAATAACATACTCTCCCCCTTCTAAATAACCTAGCAAGTTGGGTTGGGTAGGTTGATGGATACCGCTAGTTGTCTCCTATTAGTATCATTTCAGTGGTAACTAAAATGCCGAGTGCTATAAAACATGCTCCTTCCAGTTTAATTCAAAAACGTTGGGGGCCTGTATGATTTGTATTTCCTGTTGCCCTATTTAATCACCCTTTTCCCCTGTTAGTCAATTTGTATTATTTATTTATTTATACCAGTAGCCTACAATGTTCAACTGTGATCAAATGCTCATGTGGCATTGCTGCTTAAAGCAAATGTCTTGATTCGTTTTGGCCTAAATCAACCGTTTCTTTTCTGAATATACATGTTCCTCAGGGAAAAACTCTATCCTCGTCAAACTTTCCATTACTAGACTATGGATTGGGACAAAATCAAGTTCTTTTTTTTTTTTTTTTTTTTTTAGTTTTAGAGGGTAAAGGCCCTTATTGTTACACTTCCTGCTTAGATATAGTATGGTGAGCGGTAAGGGTTGAGGTCTCAAAGCACTGAGCATGGTCTTTGATTTTTGGTAATGTTTGGAAAAATGTGTGCTGTAGACTAAGATTTTATGTGAATGTTGTATGATATTTAACTCAGAATATAGCACCTCTGTCTGAGTGATCCATCCCAAACTTTTGCTTCAGGTAAAAGAGATGCCCAATGTATTGATACTTCCACGCAGTGCAGATTACAGTGAAGAAGTGTGGATGGAGATAAGGGACAAAGCTATCTCTATTCTGCAGTCATTCTTCTTTGATGGGATCGTACCAAAGAATGCTGTTTCTGATGAGGAAGGTGAAGAAAGTGAAATAGGTGATGAAAGTGAACCATTTCACAGGCAAGACAAAGAAAGTACTCTGCAGGATTCTGTTGGTGAGCAATTGACTGATGATATTCAGCTAACTCCAGAAACCTCTCGCAAAAAAGTGAGTGGTCAGTCAATAGAATCTACCAGCCAAGCTCAGGGTTCTGGCATGTCTCAAAATACAACCACAAGATCTGATGAAAGACGCAGCCGATCAGGCAAGAAGGCAAAAAAAAGACATGGCCGTCAAAAACCTCGACAGAAATCAGACAATCCTTCTCAATTAGAGAAAGAAAGTACTTCACATCAAGAAGATGATACTGCTATGAGTGGCAGTGATCAAGTGTTAAGTTCCAGTTCTCGGTTTGCTTCCCCTGAAGACTCAAGGAGTAGGAAAACACCAATAGAATTAATGCAAGAATCAAGTTCAGGCCAGCTTTCAAGATCAGGCAAGAAGCTCAGTGGAAAGTCTGATGAGCTGCTCAAAGATGGGCACATTATAGCTTTATATGCAAGAGATCGCCCTGCACTCCATGTTTCCAGGCAAAGATCTAAAGGAGGTGGATGGTTCCTGGATGCTCTGTCAAATGTAACAAAAAGAGATCCTGCAGCCCAGTTCCTTGTTGTTTTCAGAAACAAGGTTTGTTTGGCAGAAATCATTCATGCCTTTACCACATTTTCCAACCAAATCATCATATTACAGTTGCTAGCATAATTGGGTAGATTAACTGTTGAGTTCGCTAATGTGTTTTTGTGGATGCATTTTTTTGCAGGACACAATTGGGTTGCGCTCTTTTGCTGCTGGTGGAAAGTTATTGCAGGTACTTTATATCTTGTAAGATTAAGTAGTTGGAGAGTGCTGCTGCACTGGTATGATAAGAAGTTACTGTTGACGGGCACTAATATCTGCTCAAGTTCTCATGGTTTGCTAGTGTGATATGGTTGTGCTTCTACAACTAGCACCGTTCCTTTTCTTTTGCTGATAGGGCATTCTTTACACACTTTGAGTTCTCGGAAAATGTTTATGACTGGGGCATACTTAATCTTCGTATCTGTTTGTGGAACATAGACATCTTTATGTTTTTATGTATTGCTCCTTTACAGTGCATTGGTTTAGGAAAGTAGACATTTGCTGTGTGAAATCAGACACTGGATTGATTATTTTGAGGGTTGCATGTTTTCAAAGAAGATAGAAGCTTGTTATTGTTTAATCAGGCTCTCCTTTTGTTCTCAATTATGCTCTTCATTTGGAAAGCAAAATGAAAATTGTGCTTAGAGAATCTGCATCTATATACAAGTCCTGTCATTCATTTTCCAGCATGATTGAATGGTAAATGCCTAACTTGCTAAAATTCAGGTATCTTGATGTAATTATTTGGTTGCTTGGGATTAAGGTTGAGTTCTATTCTGAAAATCACAGATTAACAGGAGAATGGAATTTGTTTTCACCAGTCACAGTTTTGATGTTTGGGAGAGTTGGACGTTGGAAGGTTCTTTGGATGAATGCAGGCTGGTTAACTGTAGAAATCCTTTGGTACATTTCTCTCCTCTTTGTATTATGCTGCATGATAATTTTCCTCCAACTGTCTTAAACTCTCTTGAGCTCTAATAAACAGAGATCTGTAATGGTTAATTATAGTCCCTCTAGCTAAAAAATAGTGGTGCTTAGATGGTTACTAAGATTAATTTTTCAGTAGGGCATCAACACACATGAAGCAGTGCATGGAATTTTGATAAATCCATCATTCTTAAGTAGCTACCTGCCTTCCACCCTGCACTTGCACAGAGGAAATCCAATTCCTATTTACCTGTCCTCTCCCCTTTGAATTGTCTTAATTTGTGCAAAAAATTGCAGGCTATTTTGGATGCACGGATCGAGATTTTGGCCACCTTAGGGGAAGATGATGGTGTTACTCGTTGGCTAGATTAGATTGTGATAGCAAGATTTGATAAACGTAATCTTTTTTATTTGCCCATCTCATAATTCTTGTCAGCTTCTCATTTTGTTTTCTCCCTAAGTTTGTTGTTTCCTCGAAACAATTTGTAAAAAGCATTCTTTTCTGTTTCCTTTTTCCCCCCCTTCTGGTTTTGTAAGTTCTCAGTTATATATGCATCCATTACCCGTGGGATGTATGGCCCTCTTGCTGAAATGAATGTACTTTATAATTTATGAGAACTGTCCATTGCTTCGTCAAATGGATCGTTGTTTCTACCTTGATGAATTAATGAAATTCCATTTCAGTGACCATTTTGCTGTTGTCGAAGCTAGTAGATAGCTGTCAACCAATGCTTTATCATCTCTACCTTTTATTGTAGCTGCGCTAGCGTCTGGGCTTGTGAAGTAATCACTGATCAATAACAGAACTTCAAAATTCACAAAGGTGGGCGTGCTTTGGATCACTGAATAAGTTCACAAGGCATCTCATCTTTCAATGATTCCAGAAATCCTTGACGGGAGAGAAGTCAGAATTTTTAAACAAGATCATAGTACAGGTGGTTGAGCAAGATTTTCTGCTTCACTCTCTTTGATAATGCTGTCTTAATAATTAAATGCACTCGTGTATTAAGCTAATGTCTATTTGCAGTAAGCGCACAAAATTTTCTTTCAGAGTCAGGATACATAAAAACAGAGATGCTAATGGTTTTTTTTGCCTGTAAGCATCAAGCTTGGTGACATTGGGCGGTGAGGCTGCGCTACTTCTTCCCTAGTGATCTGCAAGATTTCAGTTTTGGAATGATAAAGCCGTAAAGGTAACGCAAGATCCTGCAGATCCTTAATCTAATAAAGCAAGAATGTCCCATTGCTGCAGTTGGCAAAGGAAAGCTCACATGGTTTTTTGGAGCCCACAACTTGGCTTGAGAGAGGCGCAAACTATGGGGGACAGGAAAGCTTTTGCAATCGCCATTCGTATATACATACATAATGCTTCAAAACCATCCAATTAATATCAGCTGATCTCGCACTGACCATTTACATGATCAAAATAATTGCTTAAAATTTCCCACTCGTATTTCGGATCTCTAGTCTTAATCAATACTGCTTGATATCGACCAAAGTATAATTGCTAATAAAATTCCATCTTCTTCCGAAGCTGGAGAGGAGGTGGGGACAAATCTTGAGTTCGAATTCTACCTTCGTCTGGCGATCTGAAAGGGTCATTCCTGTTGTCACTCTTTATTTTCTATTGGAGGCCCGTGTTCAATTATACAAAACAGCTCACAAATATTCTCAGGTTTCTGAACGAAGCATCCATGCTGCAACTACAATATTTACGATAATTTTTTTTTCTGAATTGGATGGCCTAGAGAGCAAATGCATTTACTGATGTTTATTATTGCTATATATACAGCACGTTGTCTTGGATACATCGTTGGCCGTTGTTACAAGAGTATTTGCCTGGGAATTTTGTTGGGGACTTTAATCAATACAGGGATCAACAAAGTAAGCAATTTCTCGGTCGCTGTCACTGAATAATCGGTTACACTAGTTCAGCTTCCTTTTCAACCATAATGTTTTTGCTATTTCCGAGTTTTGATACGCATAATCAGCATTTTCACAATATAGTAATGAGTAGATGTTAGCTAAACGCAAAGGCAAGCTACTTAAAACAGACAAAGCTGATAATCACAGGCCCCCAAGTGTCTCTCCCGAACGAAACTTTCGTAATTCATCCTTCTGCGGTGTCTTCTAGGAAGGGTGCAAGTTACCTCTGCTGAGAGTCACACGCGGCTTTATCAGTCTCACTTCTACCCAAAGGTCACTCTAATCTCACCTTGGTTAAAACAAAACAAAACAAAAAAGGTTTTGGATTCGAACTACGAAAATATAAACCAATGAAGTTTTTAATTCGTGGTCTTTTAGTTCAAGTACCAACCAAATTTTGACTTGCTGTACCAAGGGATTTTTATCATTCTAACTAACTTGATAGAAAATTTGAAAAATAATGATACAAATTAGAAAAAGTATTAGAGAAATTATTATGGGGAATAAATCTTGTTTCAAAAGTTATTTCTCAATAAAAAATAAATTTAAAATTTTATACAAATACAATAACCAAAAAATAAAATTTAACATCCAACAATTATAAAACAAAAAAAAAGTAAGTAAGCTGATGTGCTATAAAAAAGAATGAGAAATTAAAAAAAAAAGGGAAAAAAGAGGTTACAGGAACAAGCTATGACTCCATTTTCAACATGCCTAGTATTATTAAAAAAATTTCAATAAAAATATTTTATAAAACCATCAAATAAAGTTATAATTAATTAAAAGTTTTGTTTAAGATTAATTCAGGATTAATTATAATTTTGTTTGAAAGATATTATTAGAATTATTCCCTTGAGATTTTTTCATTCAGTTTGTTTCTAATAATTTATTTTTTTGTTTTCATTTTTCTTTTCCATCATATCATATTATTTTTTTTCTTATGCATTGGATCTTGAATACTATATTTTGATCATTAGATGTTCATAAAATTTCAAGGCTAAATTAATTAATTTGTAAAAAAAGTAATATTTTAAAGTATGATGAAATAACTACTATTAAAAATAACAGACATGTATAAAATAATTTTTAAAAACATGTTTATATTTGAATTGCACTATTTTTCAAATATATTTTTCACCTGTATCATTCTTCTAGGATTCTTGCCGAACTGCTATTTTTCGAAAACATTCGTGCCCAAAGGTCTTCCCCAATCTTATTAAAAAACAAAAAAACGAGGAAACCCACGTAACTGTAACAAAAATTGCCGTTTGCCGAGTCCACGGGTCACCTAACTCTCGATCGAGACAAAAACACTGCCACGTGTACGATCATTTCCAAGCCCACTAACACCACCATCACAACTCCCACACACACACTCTCTCTCTAATCTATTATTTATAAAAACCATCAATCAATCATTTATAAACCACACATCTACTCTGTACATCTTCTCTTCTCACTTTATTTCCTTCTTGCAAGACACAACACTCAGCACAAAAACGTTAACCGAGAAGACTCACCCAACACGCTTCTCCTCCTTTGTTGTCTTTCTTCCTTGCAGGACAGAACACGCGGTACAAAAACCTTTGCATAAAAACAAGACCACCCAGAAGAACCTAAACCGGAAGAAAAACAGAATCGGTTTTGTTCTCTTTTAATGGTGTCGGTTAACCCGAACCCGGCTCCAGGGTTTTATTTCTTCGATCCTATGAATAATAGTAGTCATATGGAGTTACCCGGTGTCAATATTCTGCCACCAACTAATACTAATACTGCTACCGATCCTTGTAATGATACTGTTTCAGCGGCTAATATTAATACTAATAATAGCCATAAGCTGGTGTCGTTCTCGGAGGATCCGAATAAGAAGATTCGGAAACCTTATACTATTACCAAGACTAGAGAGAGCTGGACTGAACAAGAGCACGACAAGTTTCTAGAAGCTCTCCAGTTGTAAGTATCAGTGTACATCTTCTTTCTTCTTCTTCTTCTTTTTAATTTTTATTATTGGGTGGTGGTTTTTAGTTTATATGTTTGCTTGGTTGCAAGAAAAGAGAATTTGTATTTAGTTTCACCTAATTGGTCAGCTAAATGAGAGAAGTTGAATAAAAAATTATAAAGGTTTTTTCAATCTGGCATTGATAATTGGCATGGCAATTCGGGGTTTTAATTATTAATTTTATTTTTTTTGTTATTTTCATTATACTTTGATTTTGAATTTGGGACTTCAGTGATTAATTAAACGAGAGAATTTGAATAACAAACTGAGGGAATTAAAGGTACTTGAACTTGCGGTTACTGATGAGTTTGCTTTCTGGTGTAAACTTGTGTTAGTGAAAGCTTGTTTATATATATACATATAAAATTTTAATATTAATTTAGTTTTTGAAATGGGAGCTTTAGTCTTTGATGCAGAAGTGGGAAGATTGTTGATTGCTGAAGAAATACGGAGAGAGAAAGATTTTGAATCTTACTACTGATTTTGGTAAAAATGTTATTTTATGTTCTGATAATAAAAACAATTCAATTTATCACTTTCATCAAGCTCTGACCAGAAAAACCTAACATTGAAAGCTTCTAAACTTTTGTTTCGGTCTTAATAACTTGAATGTTGTTATATTCAGTTAGGTGAATTTGTGATAAAACTTTCTATGACATTGTCTATGTCACTATAAATCATGCTTTCTGATTTGTCTGTTAATAAACCATGCGTTCTAACCTAAAATTCTTTTGGTTACAGATTTGATCGTGATTGGAAGAAGATTGAAGCATTTGTTGGGTCAAAGACTGTCATACAGGTATCTTAAATAGTCAAATCTATCTTCTTTAAGTGGCAGGTTAAATCACTCTTTGGGTTTGATGTTCTTCCATCCTATCTTCATTTTCCATCTGATAATTTTGCTATATATGCTTATGAGGTTACATTACATAGTCAGACTTGAACAAATTTGTTAGTGAAAGGCATAACACCTATCTGTTGCGTACAAGTTAAAGCTCTGAAACGGTAAATATATTTTCGTTGTAATGATTACAGTTGATCAAAGAAATGATGAAACCACCTATTTATGAGAGCAATTTAGAGATTTCCTTATGATGTGGTATATTGATTCACTATTCCCAAGACCATAAACTTAAACATTTTTAGAGGTAGTTTTGGCCTCCTGGGATATGTCAGGTGTTCTCTTGTGCTTTTGTGTGTCTGTCTGGGTGTATTTCAATTCAGTCACAGCTATTCGTGAACCACATGTCCATCATCAAAATGTTTTTGCATGTAAAATGCAATGGATGTTCTTGGCAGATACGGAGCCATGCGCAGAAGTACTTTCTGAAGGTTCAGAAGAGTGGAACAAGTGAACATGTACCTCCACCTCGGCCAAAGAGAAAGGCAGCTCATCCTTACCCTCAAAAGGCTCCTAAAAGTGGTTAGTATGTTCAAACTTTGTGTTAATATTTTGAGAAGGCGAGAGGAGGATGTGGATTGAATTCTTCTAATTCTGGATTTATCTTTGTTTGTTTGTGTATTTCTACAGCTGCAGTTGCATCCCAAGTGACGGGGTCATTTCAATCTTCATCTGCTTTGCTGGAACCTGGATATCTCTACGGGCCTGATTCAACATCAGTTCTTGGAAATCCAATTACAAGTGGAGCTTTATCTACCTGGAGTTTTAACTCTGTACCACCAGTCAGCATGTCACTGATGACTAATGGTATCTTTTGTTTCTTCTAGCCCCCCTCCTCTTTTCTTTTCTTCTTCAAGATCTACA